ATGGTCACTCGCAGTGTCACAGGGATCCCACTCCCACTAAGGGGAGGCTGACTTGAAGGGAATCCCCAGAGCAGATTAAATCACCCACTAGCCCACCGTCCCATCCATGTGGGAGTTTAATGAATCAGAAGAGACCCTTTAGCTCAAGGGCAGAGCACATGTGGAAGCCTCGCCCTCTTCCTTTAGCAGGTGTTCACGCAACTGCACACTCCAAGTCAACAGCACAATAGAACCTCTCATTGAAGTTGCCAGGGATCGAACCTAACATAATATTCTGCAAACAAAGTGTGTGTCCAATGGCTTAACTACAGGAGGCCCCAGGTATCTCTTCTGCGCAATTCAGTGATGGTCTACCCAGTGATGAGCTGCAGTGATTAACTTCTAAGGTTGAAATTGTATACAATCTTACCTAGAAAAAAATAACTATGCCATGGAACTACTTCTGAATAGACATAGGCAAATTTTCACTGTATCTTACTGTAACTAAGCATTTCTCTGTACATAAGGAAACTATGTAAGCTGCTTTGAGTTCCTCATACAAGGAAAAAAGGTGGGATATAAAGGCAGTGTAATCATCATGGTCATGGTTGTCATAATCGTGCCTACAGTAAAGCATATGTTCTGTCAGCTCTGCTGTCTTGTCATCAGTGTACTACTTATGTCCCTCTTCCACAAGTGAGTCTATCTCCGTGGACAAGAAAGGACTCACACGTCCACAGCTCAAGCAACAGGGAAACAGTGAGGGAGTGTTAGAGCTCACAAAGGATAAACCTTGGAATATGCCTTCAATACAAGGGGTGAATCCCAAATACAGGAGGAAAAATGCCTCTGACTATGTGTAGAAGGCATTTCCTTCACTACCAAACAACTACAAGTTATCCACACATACTTTCCAACATGCAGTCCATTACAGATGCAGCCCTACATTTGGCATGACTTTCCCACAGACCTAAGATCCAGCAATTAAAACAAAACAACAACAACCCTGCTGCCCTCACTTCTTTTGCCAGAATAGTATGCAATCAGAAACTCAGGTTTCCTGGTTTTCTTCCTCTCCACTTTCGAGTAGCTCCTCACATAAGTGCACTTCTCTTGCAATTCTCTGCCTTCCTGAGCCAGTTCTCATCCCTATACTGGACGAGGCCTCAGCCCAAGAACTTGGCATCAGGAAGCAGGTGTAATGCGGCCAGTCCCCTCCAGGCTTCTTTCCTCCTTTCCAGCTGTCTCCTTCCTCAATACATGCACTGCTGCTGTCCCAGCCTCACCATCTCCAGCACATTACAATATAATGAGATGATAAAGACATTTCATATCTTCCAATGAAAATATGAATGATGCTTTGGGGGACCATTCACCTAAAATTCTCCTTTGCACATCCACTGAAATAGACTGAACTATCCCAACCCACAACAAGTTTGGGATAATCACACAAAGGCTAAATTCATGTGGGGCACACTGAGTATACGGAACACAATTCTGCACATCAGCAACCTGAAGCAAATTGCTTCTTTACAAGCATAGGCAGACATAAACTCTTAAGGAAAAGAAAAAGAACAATTAATTATAAGTAGTATCAGGGGAGAGGAAATGGAATGAAAAATTGAGTCTGAGTTATAAAAATAAGTAATTTTTGTCTTACTTGCAGGAGGCTTATTATATTAATTAAACATTATTACAGGGAAGGAGTGGGGGGGGGGCTACAAAGTCTAGGACTGGCTGTAAGTGTTCTCTCCTGTTGCCTGAGGCTTCAGCCATTCCTTGATATTAATCTTCTAAAGCACTCCAAATGCTGGAGAGATAAACACTTGAAATATGAAAACGTTTCTCCACCTCCACTCCTACTGCCATAGACACTATGCCCCTACGTCAACTCAAGATATTTGCGAGATGCCCCAGCAGCCTGTGCTTCTTTCTCAAGCAGACTGTTTTATAAGCCATGTGGCTCCATCAAGGCTCATGCAGGGGGACTGTATGTGGATGACAGAGCCAAGCCAGCATGTGTGTGCTTATGAAAATATCTCCTCATAGGTATGGTTATGAAGCATGGTGGGGTCTCCATTCACCAAAACCCACCCCTTGCCTCGCCTCGCCTCGCCTCCCCAGGCTCTGCTGCTTTACTCTCCTACTTTCGCGGCCTGGCTCCCATACAGAAAGTGAGTCAGTTATGGGTAGAGGTGAAGGTCTTCAGGCTACAGGGTGCAAGGAAGTAACATGGGGAAGAAGCAGCATTTCCTTACTGTTCCCTGGCTACCTACTTTAGTGATAAAAGTAGATACTTCCCCCTTCCAGTTTATAGCCAAACAGGGGTATTGTCTGGTCCGGCCCTTAATTAAGTGTGCAAGTGCTCGTTCCCAGTTGTCATTTTGCAGCCCATAGAAATAGTTCACCTCAGTAAACATGAAAACATCACCATGTTGTACTTATCAGGGATTTGTGCAACTTTCTAACAGAAAGTTGCAATTGGGGATTATTCAAAGTACACATTCCTGGTTTTCTTCATCAGCATATTGTACAGTGAACTGTTGCATAACACATTTTTTCATTAATGCAGCTTAGGAATCACTCACTCGTCAAAATGTTATCTGATTAAGCACAGTCGAGTCCACTTCTCCCCCTGCCCACTTCTCCCCCTGCCCAGCCACACCAGATACATGGAGCACAAGTTTCCTTGGAAGGATGCTCAGCTGGAAATACTGGGGATTTTGTTAGAAAAACAAACCTAGCTTTCTAGGAAGCTTACTTGGTATGGATGGAATGGCCTTATTCCAGTTTGTGTCTATTCTCTGGGTGTTTCCTGATAAGTCAGTTCCATCCTATTTCTGTTTTAATTTAAGCAATAAATCTTTTTTTAAAGGCTTCATTAATGGGGGAAAGACTGTTAAATGGTAAATTAGGAAATTGTTTTAGGGTCATCTTCTTTTTTCTCCTTTTTTACAGGTGTGCCTGGGGTGTGTGATTTCTGTCACATGAGCTGAACATGAAGCTGGAAGAAATTTGACCCTGGTAATGACAAAGCCTGCTGACATGCCAAGCCTCCCAGAGAGACCGTGGGAAAACACAGCTGCCCCATAGACCCATTGGAGCACCCATTTTTCTTTCTCTACAGTGTCCCTAAGTGCAATAGCAGATCATTAGGTCCCGTTGCTCCTGGCAGGAATTGCAGCTTTCTTTCCAGTGAGTGCAGCAGTAGCCACGTGTACTAGCTGCTCTAGATTGCTAGAGACCATTCTTTAAAAATAAGAAGCAAGGAGAGTTGGCCCTCGGACCACCTCATTATGGAATTCAGTAGAAGTCTGGATTCCAAAGAGGACCCATGTCCCAACTGCAATCAGTCTGGGAGGTGCTGATTAGGTGAGCCTGCTCTGGGATTTGAACCCATCAAATTGTTCCCTTATCCCTAGGGGAACATTTGGAGGATGAGTGATGCTAGACAAACCAGCTTCTCTGAAAAATAGCTTGCCAAGAACTGCTGATCATCCCTTGGAATGTAAAGCTGCAGGAAAGAGCAGGGTGTGATTTTAGGGCCCCGCAGTCTTGGCCAGAGAATGCATCAAATGCATGCCCTCTTACTGGTTGCAACACACTCCAGCTCTCTGCAAGATGCTCACAGCCCATTGGCAGAATATGAGCTATGGAAAGCATTCCCTGAAGATAGAAAGTTAGACATCACAGTGGTTGGCAACACTATATTTGTATTTCATATACCTTTTCCTCTTTCTAGTTCTGCCTAGCTTCCTCTCCAGAACCTCCTAGATAGTCAATCTAGTTATCATCACCAGCTATCAGGGAGATTGAATGGCTTCTTTTCAAAACACTGTTCTATTAGTCAAGACCCACTGAAAGTTGGAGGGGAATCAATTGGATTTATTGAATACAGCTCATCACATAAAGATGTTACAGAGATCAGCTCCACTATGCTCAGGTAGCCTCCAGGATTAAACAGGGAGAAAGATTCCCCTCAAAGAGCAGGTCAATGTGTTGTAATCCTTGGGCTTGTGGTGTGAAATCTGAATGCATGTTCATGAAAAATAAGCAAGCATAAGAAAATATTTCCTCAAACCCAGTAAGCCTCTCTCCTATTTTTTTTCCCAATCCTCTTCATGAGTGCGGGGTAGAAGAAAGCATAAACCCCAAAGATGGTTGCAACAGAGGATGGAACAGATCTTCCCTGTTGTGCGTGGATTACTTTGTAAAGGCCTCATCCAGTGCACACAATCCTAAAAGGTCCCTCAGTTCTTTTGCCCAGAACACAAGCCTCTGTCATAGCAAAAGTGCAAACCTTACAAGTCGTCTTACACAGGCACGTGTGAGTTCTGGCCTCAGGGACAAATGTACCATCACACAACAGGAATGCTGAACAGGAAAACAGAAACCAGCCCAGTCCCAGATTTCAGTATGATATGCATATGAGAGTATGGATACAAAAGTGGAAGACAGAACAAATCTCTGTAAAGTAGAAAGGCTGAAGCCTGCAAGTATGAGTCAAGGTTCAAATCACATCTGAAGTCTTCTAAATTTTGGGAAATTCAGAGTGAGACTTTCTGGTTCAAAGATAATCTCACATCCAATTCAACAGAAAACGCACAATGTTCAGTTCCCTTAGAACAGCATCACTCGAAATGACCCTGCTGGAAAAACCTGCATATCATTTTAAACACACCAGACATGTAAAAAGCTACCACATTAAGCCAATCTTCTCTTCTCTCTGAAATTAAGCATTCCACTGGCGGCACATCGTTGCTATAAGTCAGCATTCACAAACATGATTTCCTAGGAAGGCTGTAGCAGGTTCTTTTACTGAATATATGAATCTGAATTATATTCTTTTTCTTTCTGAAAGCATAGATAGTTTGGTACTTCTTGAAACTTATAATCACAATGAGAATCCTAAAAAGGCATCATATTCATAAAATGTTAGTATTTCTTTAGAGATGCTCAGAAACTTGTTACTTTATTCTTCAGTTCATGCACATTCTACAATGTTCCACGATCAGGCTTACCTGGGTAGGCCCCAATGCCTGGTCCCAGATGGCTAGTCCAGGTGCTTCCAAAATGGAAAGTCCATGTAAATCCTGTAGATGTATCATGTGTCCAACCACAAAGGTCTCCAGGAAGATCAAAGTTGCAGTTGAATCCCACTGGGATCTGGAAATCTTATAACAAGGACAGAACAACATAAAAACAGGATCAAAGGAAGACCAGTCAGAGAGAAATGCCATTTAATAACTAACATAGCTGGCAATTCATGGATAGCTAAGGAAGTATGAAGTCTCTGGCGTACGTGCGGGCATGTTCCCGGTCTCTCTCTGTGCCTCATGATACTTTTAAAATGTCTCTGGTTTCAACAGCACTTGCGGGGTCAGTCTTATGTTCCAGTTCATCAAAATGCACATACTCACATCCTTCAACTAAGCAAATATAAATGAAAGCACCAAATGCTTCTGTTCTCTCCAGTCACTTTCCCCCAGAAGAGTATAAGTTTTAAATGTCAAGGACTGTTTGCCATGTTCTCCAACTGTGCTGTACAATTCTATGATGGTGCCAAAATTGGAGGAGGAGGAGGAAGATAGAGAGAAGAAAGAGAAGTAGAAGCAGTGGCAAAACTCTTCCTTCAAACAGCCCCAACACTTTCAATTATTAAATAATTGTCAAAACACTAAGGCTGCAATCTTATCCGCATTTACCTGGCAGCAAGCCTGACTGAATTCAGTGAGACCTACTTATTTATTTCATTTTCATACCACCCAATAGCCAAAGCAATCTGGGAGGTTAAAAACACCAAAAACAAGAAAAACATAAAACAGTAAGACAAATGGACTTGTCTTCCTGTCAAGTAGACTTGCATAGGATTGCACTAAAAGAAGCTAAAAGAACAAAATGTTTAGAATGTCAGAGTCAAAAACTCAAGTGATGTTAACTATAGCAAAAACTATCATAGGCTGCAATGCAGATGTGCCTCAGGGCATGTTCACCTTTGCATTCGATGTATGAATGCATGGAACTAGGCTCAATAAAAAATGTTTGTTTATCTCAGGTTCCATCGGATTATATGAAAAACTTTGATGATGGGATTTTATCCTTGTTACCAGTTTACTATCTGTTGTCTTGCAATCAGTGAATGGTGAACATGAATGTGTGAACTCATCCTTCACTTTCCACGATCTCAAAGCTGACAGTCAGTGACAGCCCCTCTGATGTGACCAGGCAACACGCTGGAGGGGCTGTCACTGGTTCACCATCTTAAAAAAAGATTTTGTTCCTCAAAAACTGCACAGCTATTTCAGTAATTAGAGAAAAAATGTGGACAGACTTGTGCAACTATGCACTTTTGCAGTTCCAAACTGGGCAGCCTGATGTCAGGATCTGGGCTGCTCTGGTGGCCAAAACCAGCGCACTCACCACCACCACAAGGCCTCCCCTTGCCACATGTCTCCTGCCTTCCACGTTGCCTCAACAGCACAGGAACTCCTGTTTGCTGCTGTGCCTGCACCGTGTTTGACCTTTCCTGTTCCTGCTCCCGTTTCGTGTCCTTCCATGTTGCCTTTCAGTGCCCGTACCTTGCCTGACCTATGTTTTGCCTTGCCATGTTACTTCAGGACTGCAGGGCTTCCTGCAGACTGTGGTTCAGCTCCTGCCTCTTGCCCAACTCTTGCTGTATCTGGTCCTTGTTGCCTTATGTATCTTGCCATGCCATGCCTCCTGGCGTGCTGTGCTTCCTGGCTCTGTTATCTCATCCAAGATACCCACACCTCCATTTGTCCTCCTGGTTCTCGACCCTTGCCTTGTTCCTGACCATGTCTTTATTCTGCCCTCGTACAGTCTTCTGATTCCTGACCTCAGCCTGTACCATGACTATGATTTGGACTCTGTCTCCCCTGATGTTCTGTTGCCCTGAGCCCCTTTTCCTCTCGTCTCTGGCTGCCCATATCATGGTTGCAGACCCTGACAGTTTGCTGAGGCCATCCTCTTCTATATCCCAAATGGGAAACAGTTTCTCCAGATTCAGACAGAGGACCAAAGCACTGCACAGAAATTCATACAGAGTGTTAGTTCCTGTCCTCATATGATGGTAACGGAGAAGCAGCAACAGCAGCAATGAATCCTGGGTTTTTACCTTTACTGTGGTCAGGAAAGGTGATGTGTATCTGCCAATCCTGCTAAAGTTCAGTAATGGGGAAATAGGTCAATTGGCAGTGTTCTGGGGTACGCTGAACCGCTCAGGTTGCTTTGTGGGCTTTATGGTGGCCAGCGTTCCAGCCAGACATCAGGAAATATTTCAAGTCCTGTACTATGTCTGCTAAAGCTGGAGTTCCTCAGTAGAGTATCAATGGCTCCTGCAGCCATTACCATCTCCTGCCAGACTCTGGTCCAACTGTTGCTGCCAAAGTCTGAGCCTTCATTCAGCCCACCCAGACCTTGTGTTGGGAAGGGAACTCCCCTTTTTCCAGGAGGAGGTTACAGTCAGCATCTGGGCTGCTCTGGTGGCTAAAACCAGAGCAACCACCACCACATTTGCAGGATGGGCCTCAGGCCCTGCTGGAGCTCTTAGTCTACTATGGAGCATCAGCTGGGAATCCTGGGGACGAATTTTATGCAAGCAAGCTCTCCCCTCGGGACTGGCCGCAGCAACACAGGTCCCTCTGTAGCTGCAGTCCCTGCGCTTTGCCTGACTGCTCTTGCTCCTTGTCCTGTCTCCAGCTCCTGTTTCTGCTGTGTACCTGGCCTTGCTGCATTGTCTCAACAGCACAGGGCCTGCGCCGTGCCTGGCTTTTCCTCTTCCTGCTCCCGTTTCCTGCCTTACCATGTAGCCTTGCTGTTGTGCCTGCACTTTGCCTGACCTGTACTGCATCTAGTTCCTGCCATGTTTGTTCTCAGTCCTTGGCTTGTTCCGGACCACGTCCTTTGCTGCCCTCATGCAGTCTTCTGATTCCTGACTTCAGCCTGTACCATGACTATGATTTGGACTCTGCCTCCCCTGCAGGTCTATTGACCTGGCCCTGGTGCCTCTGCTGCTCTTGTCTTGCCTTGTCTGGCTGTCCACATCTTGGCTGTGGACGCTGACAGTTTGCTGAGGCCCTGCTGGGAATCCCGAAAGAAGAGCTCTTCCTCCTGGAACTGGCCTGAGCAACACAGCTGTTCCTGCAGCAGAAGTGCCTGCTTTTTGCCTTACTGCTCCTTGCTGTCTCGCTCCCACATCTTGCCGTGCATCTTGCCTTGTCATGTTGCATCCATCGCCTGTTTGCCTGCCTGTTCCTGCTCCTGGGTGCTGCCTTTCCATGTTGCCTGCTGTTGTGCCTGCCTTGGCGTATTGCCTCGGTAACTCAGGGCTTCTTGCAAGCTGTGGTTCAGTTCCTGCATCTTGCCTGACCCTTGCCCCATCTTCTTCTTCTTGTTTTGTGGATCCTGTGGTGCCGTGGATCATGCCACGTATTGTGCTGTGCCATGTGTCTAGCTCTGTTATCCTGTCCAAAGGACCTGCACCTCTGTTTGTCCTCCTGGTTTTCAACTCTTGGCTTGTTCCTGACCATGCCTCCTTTTTGCCCTCAGGAAGTCTTCTGATTCCTGACCTTGGCCAGTCCCATGACTATGGTTTGGACTCTGCCTCACCTGAAGTTCTGTTGCCCTGAGCCTCTGTTGCTCTCATCTTGCCTTGTCTCTGGCTGCCCACGTCCCAGACACAGACCCTGACACCTCACTTGAGCAATGTCCTGAGGATGGGGGAATGGCCTGTGAGGTGAGGCTGCTTACAGCTGTCAAAACAGAATCTAAGGTGCTTAGGAAATGTTAAAGGTAAAACATAGGGGTTCTTTAGGCACTCAGGAAGTTGGAAAATACAAGCTGCTCCCTTTTATGATGGGAGTATGGAAAATTCAGCTGTAAAAAGTCAGTCTTTCTTTTAAAATGGGCTTTTTGACAGGACTGCATTGTAAAATAAATGTAATAAATAAATAATCTGGCTGTATTCCCTGGACCAGAGACACTTGTATATGCACATGTCCCTGCCAAAATCTCAATTATGTTTGTTAAAAACTCCTGAAAATGGGCTACTCTACACTTTCCCACCTTATGGCATACCAAGCATCTTGGGAAAGGGTGGAAAAGATTCAGGACACTGAGAAGAGTCAGGTAAAGGCCAAAAAAAAAAGAGTAAAGGATCTTACTGAAAAGATGATCTACTAGCCACCCCTTTTCTGAGCAAGGATCACTTATGTTTTTGCTTTTCCCATGATAGCTCACCCTTTGGCCTCTCTCAGTAGAAAGCAAAGTCTAAATAATCCTCTTTATAGCCTCTTGGGTCAATCCACAGAACATGACCCAGACAAGCCTGTATGGTTCAGACCACTGCAAGGGCACACTTATGCATGTGACTAAAAAATATAACAAGAAAAGAAGAAAATATTTGTGCATATTTCTGGTGCATTAAAAAAGGTAGTGAAACAGTGACAGTCCCCCCATTGTGCTGCCTAGACGCTTTGGAGGAGCAAGCACTAGCTGTCAGCCCAAGAGATTATGGAAAGTGATCCTCCCAAAGGGGGGAGGTGAAAAAGGCAGTGGCAAGCAAAAACAGGCTTGTGATTCTGGTGAGGAGAGAAAACAAGGTGGCTTTCGCTGCCAAATTCCCTAGGATAACTCCTGGGGGACTTAGGGAAATGGAGAACAATCCAGTGTGCCAAAGCACAAGGTTGGCTTTTCATGACATGAGAACCCCACCCAATGACAGCAACCGCAGCAGACATGAAGGATGCTCCTCCTTCTACTTTTCCCAGGCATGGGGAGATTCCTGAAGACTGGTCCTACAAACTTTTGCAGATATACCTTACATGAATGGGGAAATATACATGATTGGATCACTCCAGCTTTCTTATTGTTTTCAGCGCTTCAGTTCAGGTTAAATCAGAAAGCCATTTTTGTCTGTCTTACCTATTCATGCAAGAGGTTTGCTTATGTATGTGAGTGAATGCACAAAGGTCTGCAAAACCCATTCAGTTTAAAGATATTCAAGAAAGAACGATTTTCAGAACTGGCCATTCCAGAAAGCTGGAAGCAGGAAAACAGGAACTTCAAGGCCCTAAAAGGTGCTAGCAACTTTAATAGGAAGGCATAGAAGCTGCAGCAGAAATGCATTCTAGACACTTTTTGGAATCATGCCAAGGAGAGAAAGGAAATTCTGAAGAATATGTGGCAATGTCACTTACAGTTATACCCTATTTGTCGTTTCCTGAATGAAAAAGTTTTAAATCAGCAGGCCCACAAAGATAATGAACACAAAGGAAAATGCCAGTGACCCATTTATAAAGAAATGGAAACATCCCACCCCAGCTCCAGAAATTTAAAAAAGAAAACACTAAAACACATAATTATAATAACTGACATGGCTCCTTTGGTATGACAATCTGATCTAATTATTCTCCAGAGAGAAGTACTGTTTCTCTTACACTTTCATAAATCTGACTGCATGGAGAAAAGTGCACTATTGTCTGTAATGCCTAAGAAGGAAAAGCATAGCTAACCCAAACGTTTGTAAATGCTGCGAATGAAAATCACAACTATATCAGAAGAAAACAATCTGGACTATTCAGTGCTACCCTAGAATGTGTAATGAGCGAATAGCACAAGGTCTTCTGTGAAGCTAAGGACAGTGTAGCAATTCACTAAGTATGGAGAATAAAATGTAGTTCACATTGGGGGAGGCAAACTGTGGGCTGTGCTACTTGAGGTTACTTGGTGGGTATGTCGCAAGATGGAAAGCTCTTCTGTACAAACAAACAAAGCCCTTCCACACAGAAGACTGGCATGCCAGCGAGAAGGCTAGGTTGAAACACGGCAAAGCAAATTATCCAAATAATTTGGACCCACACAATCAATGGAATAAATGAAGTTGGAAGGGAGACAATATTTGAATGGTTTAAATGGATATATGAGTAACATACATACATCAAAGCAGTCCTCTTACAAGATACTTTTAACAATACAGCAAATCAATGCATCATTTTGTGAACTTGCACACTTCTTCCTATTAAATAAGATCAGACTTCTGACCAAGCCTCTCTAGAGCTTGGACTGTCACTAGCAATATCATCCTTCAATCCTCAGTTCCCTCAGCTAAACCTGAGCAATCACTTAGCTGCAAATTCATTATTGACAGCAATTTAAACTCAAGCAGCCAAAGAGCAGTTCAAGACCTAGGGCTGGGCTCCCAAGCAGTTCAAGCCTGGCTCCTGCCCAGTCAGTGGAAGCAGTAGTTCAATGAAGAGGAATAAGTTACTCCCTCCTAGCCAAAAAGCAGAGCAGGGTGGTAGGCAGTGTCCACCTTATACTTGCCCTGCGGTGCTACCCCAAACTACATTTCTGCTCTTCTCAGTGAGTTACCCTCCAATCCCCTGCCATGGGCTCCACTTGTAGCAGCTGCGATGCAAAGTGAGTCTTTAAGCCACCACCAGCAAGGAGGAGCAGGGAAGAGGAGGACTTGTGACTGTGATTTTCTACATGCTAAGTACTAAATGTTACTGAGTGTATGTGCTGGTGGGAAGGATGAACTTGCTACAGAGATGCTTTTTTGGGTGAGATCAGCATGACAAATGCATCACATGCTCTGTCCCTTACCAAGCTCAAGAGGTAAGACATGTTGGTGTGGCTGTTGTCAGCAGCTCAACCTGCCGATGGGTTCAAGCCCTGGGGCTATGGACCAGGTGCAAGGAGGCTGTGGAGCAGGAAGGTCTGGCTAGGGCTTCCTAGTAAAGTTGTGGGGAAAACAGAAGATGTAGGGTCTATGAGAAGCAATGTGAGAAATGGGGGACCAACTATGAAGCCAGGAGTCTGTGTACAGCTGCAGGAAATTGTGCGAGGAGAAGTGGGCGGAGGCAGGAGACAGGGCAGCGGGAGCTGTGCCCTGACTCCATGGAAAAGAGGTGAAGTATAAAGATCATTTGTAAACAATGGTTAAGCAGTAAGGGAGGTTGGGTGTAGAGTTATCTTCTTTCTTCTACTGAGGCTTGTGATTGGAGGTTGGAGGACTTTCACTAGGGATAGGTGTGGTTCTTGGCCACGTAAACATCCCTTTTGCTGAGGATGTTTGGCAGCCTTAGTAATATGGCACAGTCGTAGGGGCTGAGGAAATACCTCCATTCTCTATGCAGCCGTCCCCGCACTCCGTTGCCTCTTCGTCAGTGGGAAACTGAGTGGTGATCTCCTCACTCTTTGCAGTGGGCTGCAGTGTCTCCGCAGTAGACTTTACATCTGCAATTAAAAGAAGAACATGAGAGCATGGAACAGAAACTCTCACTGGATTCAGAAAGAAAGTCAGTCTGACCAGAAAGCCCACACAGACAGGCAGGAGGACTGCCCTCCTACATGGCATGAAGCTTCACTCGCTTTGCAGAGCACTTCAGGGAATGCACCCAAACCTTGGTCACAGGAGTGCCTTTTACAGAATGAAAGAATCCCCTGTATCTTGCAAGGTGGCTTGATGTACAGTCAGTCACTATACTGATGTGCTGAACAATGTTTCAAGAAGCTCTCGGATGTGGAGCCCCGAGTTCATGCTTTTTTTCTTCCTGCATCATCAGGATTTGAAGGCTTGATCTTGCTCCCCCTGGTGACAGGAGTGTGAAGGCACCCTGCCTATGCATACAGAACTGGGATCAGACCTGTCGAAGCCTATGTGGTTGCGCAGTGCAACACGGCTGGGAGCTCTGGAAGGCTCTATAGAAGGCTTCTCCTCATGCTGCTCAGCTTTGCCACAGCAACCTAGGCTTCTGTGGTAGCTGCATTATGTTCCGGATCCTGCTTCCAGGACTGCCTTGCTTCTGACTTTGTCCAGACTCCTGCCTGATCCTGCCTCTGCCCTTGCTCTGGTCCAACCCCGCCCTGCCACGTGCCAGATCCTTGCCTTCATCACTGATCCTGGTGTGCCTGGCAAGGATCTGATCCTCGACTGTTCTCGACTCCGCCTTTGTTTCTGGATCCACCACGCTTTGTTGGTATCTGACACGTGCCTGTTCCTAAGTCCGCCCGGGCCTTTGGTCCTGACATGCCTTGTTGGTATCTGCCCTCAACTTGTTCCTGACTCCGTCTGTTTCTGATCCTGCTGTGCTTTGGTTGTTCCAGCCTCTGCCTTTACTGCACCACACCAAGAACTCCCTCTACCATCACCACCCCAGTCCTGGTGCACCTGTCCTGAATCTGGCAGGTATGTTCAACCAGGAGATGCTGAGTTCCATGGGAACAGAGTGGGTGTGGCTTCATCTGAAGAGACTTTGTGCTCTAACTAAAGGATCGATCTGGACCAGTTACATACAACCAACAGCCAGCTCCTAGTTCTCTATCCTGGACAGCAAGTCTGAGACCAGCCCATTCCCTGTCACCTGCCACTCTTGGAGCCTACCAAGACCCGAATGCTGGGCAGTATATTTCCTGATGGTGCCGTGCACGGGAAGCATCATGAGGCAGCATGGCGGCCACATGCAGCATCCAGCAGTGTCATTCCACCGGTGCAAATGATACTGCCCTACCAAAACTAGGTTCTGAATGAAGTATGAAACCAGGGAGCTGCATGGTTAAAAAGCTAATAACAAATAAATAAACCAGAACTAAAAGGAGGAGAAAGCAACAGTTGGCTGAAATTTAAATCAGCCACCTGGGTAATGAACTAACACTCACACAATCCATGTCGTGAAGCTACAGAAAAGCTTTCTTATGTACAGGATAATATGGTAAGAGAAGAAAAGTTTTCCACATGCCACAGATGTTAACATGTCTCAAATCACTTGCAAAGTTTGATTTATGGATGCAGAAGGAATAAGGAATTCTTTCATCTTTGGACTCCAGTGGACAACAATCTCCTTTATTCTTCAGTTCTTACTGGTTTTTGGTTTTAAAAAGCAAGGGCAGGGGTTCCTGTAGCTCCAGGAAAATTGAGATCACAGGCAGCACATTCTTTTTCCTTCATAAAAGGAATAAGACACGAAAAAGACACACACACACGTACACACAGTCCAAACACGCCAGTGTATAAGTCACTCAACACCACAAATGATGCTATTACAGAAGAGCCCGAAATAATCTTTGGCGCACTGCAGTTCTTCATAGACAAGCATCCGGTTTCATTCTTTGGCCACACACATTACCCCACAAAATCTCCCCCTCAAAAAACAGCACCAGGAATCTACCTAAGAGCAGGTGGGAAGGGCAGCTGAAGTCACAACTGCTTGAAAGTCAAATCATCAATAATGTGAATAAGTCCTTGTGATACCTATGTATTTTCCTATTAAGGAAGGAATTAGGCTGTAGTATCTTTTTGGAAAAAAATCATTACACTTTCAGCCTTGACAAAAGTCTGTGTGACATAGTACATACAAAACTAGGGTGCCACAATCCAGGAACAAAGATGTGATATAGAAACAGAATTCTGGCTAAGGAAACTCAATTTGTTCTAAGAAATAAACTATGAAAATCAATGCAACTGGTGTGAGTTTCATTACTTTGCTGACATCTGATCATTGCTCTAGCTTGAGTCCCAATTGTTTGAGTAGTTGTTGCATTTACTCAATGAGTGTGTGAGAAAGAATACAGAGCAAGAAAGAAGAGAGAGATTGAGTCAGGGGCACATGAATTTAATGTAGAGAACAAAGTGGAATAATGCACAAGAATTTGCTCATGCAGACGCTCAGGTCAAATTGTGAGTGTGCTGCAGATAGGCATTGGGTAAAGTGCTTTCCCCCTTGCCTCAAAGTACGGCCAAATAACTGTTCAGAACATAACTAAGCATGTGAACTGATTACACTCCATTCTGCCCCTACACCAGTGCATACAAAGGGTTATGGGAATACCTTTTATGACTCAAAGCAAGCAGGGAGACAAATAGACATGCAATTCTGCTTTTTGCATGCTGGAGATATAGTGTGCATATTTTCCAATGTATATCCACAACCAAGAGGGCTAGAAATGTATAGTAAATTGTAGAAAGAAAGAAAGACTATTCACAGTATTCTGCCTCAAAAGAGCTGGCAAATAGATTTCATTTCTATATATCTTCAGCGTATTGTTAAATAAAGTTCAAAAGTTTCAGGAATCTGCACTGAATAAATCTCCTTTCACATAGGACTCTAATTAGTGTGTTGGACTTCAGCTCCCATCAGCCAAAATGGTCAATGACCAGAACTGCTGGGAATTGTAGCGCAAAAACATCTGGAAGGCCCCAGGTTGGGAAGACTGGCATAGCTCCTTCATGTCCTTCTGCTACTGAAGTATATTCCAGGGTAAACTCCAACAGTCTCCTTTGGCTTTCAGCAGAATATGAAGCAATTTCAAACCTGCATGATTTTTAAGTTCTTCATATTGTAAGTTATAATGCCATGAAACTCCAAAGTTGTCTGAGAGCAAATTACAGGCAAGAAATGGAATAAAATGACTGTTTAAAAATAGCAGTCTGAAAGCAAGAAGTCCAAAGCGGGAAGTCAAATGCGTAAGCTGTTTTCCCTTGTGTCAAGAGATTTACAGTAGGAATACAACTGTGTGAGCGATCTTTGAACAGGAAAGACTCATGCTGTGTCTGCATCCTCTGCTGGGGTAATTTAGAGCCTCTCCAGTGTCTTGTATGGTCAATAGAGCTGTACAGGTTTCATGGCAGAACGCAGCAGAATTGCCACAGCAGCAGGGTGGGCAGCATGCTCTAAGAACGGAAAGTAAGCCCAAGATGGCCTCGCTCCTGCCAGGCTGTGTGTGCTGCAAGAGGCATCTGCGGATCCTGTTACAAAGCTGTTGAGCAATGGAAACCAGATGTTTGCAAGTTCAAAGGAGGGAAGACCAGTCACGAGCGAATGTTCGTCAATCTTCAGAGGGAAAAATGTTGGCCAGGCTTTGAAACAAGCCAGCTGCTGGCCTACTGCTTCAATTCTCTTTTTCCCTACCATCAAGCTATACACAATAAATTAGGTCTTGAACCTAGCTTTTATTGTGGTTGCTTCAATTATTACTACTTCTACTCTAAAGTAACTTTTTTGCTACCAGGTACATATGTGGCAAATTACTACTGGTCACGCACTGCATGTTTGAATCAATGAATACAGCTTACCCAAAGGTCAAAAGCAAGGCCAAAGTATCACCATGGCTCACCTTCCCCTGAGGATAAGAGATATCTAGAATTGTGCTGCAAACTAACAGGCTCTTCAAGCACGCCTTAAAGTTTTGGGATTAGGAATCCAAACTGCTTTTAAATGTGTTGGCTAATTCAATTAACAGGCCCCATAGGCTGAGGGGTAGCATGGGTCAGGCAAAAGTATGAGTGCCACACTGAGTCCACCCAGGCTGTACCTTCATTAGACGAAAAGGCAGATGATCACTGTTCCTTTTCTCCTAACTAATGCAAAAGCCTAGTTCTAACTGTGATGGCCAAACCTGCACCACTTCAGACTGCAAATTAAGACTCACCTAAATTACTGCTCCTCTGTGGGGGGTGGGGAATCCTGTACACAGAAAGTTACCATAGCAGGGAGATGGTTAGGGGTAGAGCCCTTTTTCTTGAACATTTCTTTGGTTTGGTCTGGTCAGGTCTTTTAACGGAGGGCCATTCAGTCACCTGAGCCCTGACCTGAAGTACAATCTAGAAACAGATTCACTGAGAACTAAATCAGTTCTCAGGAATCTAATGCCCTTGATCCCTGTATTGTTTGCTGGAGTGGGAAGGAACAGAACAATGCCAAGTTTTTTCAACTGCGAGTTCTTTGCTTCACCAGCACTCTTCCATTCAAAATCTTCAAGCAGACAATACAGCCATCCCTTCCATCCCCCCTGTTAAAACCTCCCTGACCTTATGACAAGGACTACTGGTCCCTCTGCCTCTAATTATTATACCAACAGCCTTCTTCATGCATGTTTAGGCAAATGTCCAAAGCCTTCTTCTCCCAAAGACAGTATTCACATTGCATCTGTAATGTGTTTAAATCATGTGGGTATCACCATACTACTGTCAGAACAGCATGGGAGGTATTCACAAGATCTCCAGAGTGGGAAGGGACATGCTATGATGTTAAAACATTTTGGGTTCATGGTGCAGACATCCTCTGTAGAATAAATTAAAAGCCCTCAAGTAGACTTCCAGCACCGCTCTAATGGTGGAATGTACAAAGACAGAGGTTCATTTCCTGAATTTCCTGTTTAAACAGTTTATCAATCTGTGTGCAAAGCTCTTCCAGGGTCTTGTATTTATTTTGTTGCAGAATCTGATGATGAATGCTTGCAATATGCTACCTTGTACAGCATAATCATCAAACGGGTAATAACAATCCAGTGAAAGGCTAGGCGTGGATTGTTTCTTTGGACCTTCTTGCAGCAGAAGCCCATACAAAATGCTTTTTACAGATGTGGTTTCTAAATGGAAATCAAACCATTTTTACCAGTGACATCTGGAAAGCAGATTGAACATTAGACACATCTTAATAAAATAGAGGAGGAACAGTAACTTTCTGATGCTTAACAGACAGCAACAAAAATTATGTTGTTTGTGGTGGCATACGTTATCATTTCAGATGATTGAGTGGAAATTAGAGGGATACCCTCTGCTGATAGCTTTCATAGTTTACAGCAGCCCAACTAAGGCAAAGATGAGAGCTTGCATATAAAATCAGGTGGGTTTTGAACATTTAAATTCCTTGGAATTTAATTGCATCCAAGGATAGGGGTGCACAACTGGGTGCCCTCTAGATGACTTGCTTTACAAATCCCATACACCCTGGCCATTGCCTGTGCTGTCTGGGGTTTATGGATTTGTGGTCCAAAATACCTGTTGGGCACCAGGTTGTCTACCTTTGAATTAGAAAGCTATTTCAAGTACTTACAGATATGAGGGCTCTACACCACAGCCTACAGACCACTAACTCCCCAGTCAGTCCCTCCCATAGTGAACTGAGGTGGTGAGTACTGACTGGAATGATGCCCAGATAAGGCCACTGAAAAACAAGAGCGAGGTATCTGCATGCTCAAGGGAACGCCAAGGTTTCAACACACACACACACACACACACACACACACACACACAGAGAGAGAGAGGACATTGCCCTCCACCTCACTGCCAAAATCTAGTAAGTTCTGAGTATTTTCATTAAATGTGTGCCAAAAAAGAAAACTGAAAAGTGTAGGAAGAATGAAATGGAGTATCCTGGGAGGAGAGCATGGCTGACTGCCTACCATCCTAAACAGAAACATTCCCTCTGGGAGAGAGACTACATGGCAACAGTTTTTTGCAGGTCTCATTTCTTAAAACAAAACTACCTCCATCTCTTTCTCTCTTCTCTCTCATTTGAAACACCTATCCTGAAAGCATTATAAAGTTAACACAGAGTACAGCCCAGCTCAATCTAGGATGGATCTCTCAAATATTACTTTGTTAACTAAGAGAGACAGAAACATCAGTTGATCCTGCAAAATTCAATAAGGCTCAGATTGGAATGTCAGAACTTCATATTGTTATGGCTGGATCCATTGTCAAGAACTACATGACAGATTCAGGCACATGGATTTATTTATTTATTTATTTATATCCTGCCTTTTTCCTACAAAGGGCTCAAGGCAGCTTACATCTCCTTCTCCATCTTATCCCCACAACAACAACCCTGTGAGGTAGGTTGGGCTGAGAGTCTGTGACTGGCCCAAAGTCACCCAGTTGGCTCCATGGCTGAGCGGGGACTAGAACCCAGATTGTCTGAGTCCCAGTCCCATGCTCTTAACCACTACACCACACTGGTTCTGCCAAAGAACTTGTAGGTAATTAATAAAAAACAAGATGCTAACTTATTAACAAGTAATTCTGATAAGTTAATAATCATGAACAGTAACTTCAGAGCCTATAAGAAAGTGAAAAGTCTCTGTATAGTCTCTTTGTCTCTCTCACCCTGCTCTAACCATATTTCCCTGAGGCTGAGTCTTCCAATTTTCTTGGAATGCTCTTGGCCTTTAAATTAAATTCTTCATCAATATTCTGAAAGGCATTGCAAAGAGCAAGGACCCAAACCAAACAAGACTTTTTGCTGGGAAAGCCCCATATGTTTTATCATTAAGAACCCCCTCAATTTTTAAGTTCTATCCATTTTAAAGATACACAAGTACAACTCAGCTACTAAGAGCAGGTGTGGGCAACTCTGTGGATGGAAAGCCACACAGCCAGTGATGGGAGGGTCAGGGTCCGTGTGTGTGTGTGTGTGTGTGCGCGCACACACACACATTCACCTCCCACACTTACAAAGGTCATTAGAGATCAAGACGCGGAAAATCACAATGAACCCTGAGCTTCCTCCCTGGGCAGTAATGATCCTTTTCATCTCCATGAATCTGTTTTTCACATTCAGTACCAAGTCTGCTGCTATAGCTGTGCAAAAGGGCAGAGGAAGAGGGTGGATCTTGCATTTAGAAGTAGATAGGATCAAATGCTTGAAGTAACCAGTTCGTGACATGCATCCATGGATCCCTTACCAGTCCAGTCACACCCGAGCACTTCTAGTCGCATTCCGATGCCTGCTGGAGACCATCTTTCTGGGTGAACTCTGATGTACTGTGCAGTAACAGGATCAAATCTTCGAACTTCAGGTGTATCATAGTGCATGTTTCCTTCAAATATCTTAGAGAAAGAAAGAGAGGTTAAATAGAGTTCTTGTCTACTATCCACTCAAAATTAACAGCTGGTTGAACAAGCGTCCTGAAAGGGGCGGCAGCATTCTGGGACATTAGTTGCTCTTTCAAGCTCATTTGAACTCTGTGCTTTATTGAACAGCAATCATGCCGGCTGGAAGAAATCAGAGCTACAGAATTCAAGTGGCTAGAGAATAATCACTGGAAACCGGGAATGTGGGAATGCAGAAAAGAAACTTTTTTAACAGTTCCAATCCTATCTGTTTAAAAGCTTTCCTGCCAGCTTCCACAAAAGCTTCTCATCAAGAACAGGCATTTTAGACCCAAAGCAAACAAAAGTGGAGTCCATGTTATTTGCTTATCCAAGCTTACTGTGTTGTCATGAGACTGAGTTGAGGAGATGGTATGAAGGCAGTTGTTCCAGTTTCTCAGATACTGCCATAAAAAGGAAATAGTGTACCTATTTAACCATTGCCTCTGAAAGAAGGTCAAGAAGTAGGGTGTACAAGCTGTCCCAAGGTTGGCTAGGAAATTAGGGTATGTTTCCTAATCTTAATCTTGAATAATGGAACCAAGCTGTCTAGGAAGTTCAAGTTCCCTGGAGGTTCTAAAGATGAATTTTGCTGTCGCAGGTAACAAAGTGACTAATGAACAACCCTCTGAACCATGCGTACCCCATTCAAAAAGTTTGAGGACCCCTGCTCTAAACTATATCAGTCTGGAAAACTGATAGAAAAAATGTGCTAATTAGACTACAATGCAGTAATGCTTGTGCAGTGCAGAGGCAACCTATAGGCTGCCTTTCACAAACCATTGTTGTCCAGATGGGTTGGACTACAATGCCCATTTTCATGAAGGACACCAGGCTGGAGAAGGCAGGCCTATCAATTGTGTCTCATAGCTTTTACACACATTCTTGACCCAAATTCTGCTCAAGTTAGAAAAGGTCCTCTATCAGGCAGAAAACAGACTTTAATGACCTAATGCATGCTGTGACAGAGATTCATGTAAAATGCATTCTGATATCTGTCCTGGACAGATGTATAAGCAAGAAAGATCTCACAGTATTGCACACAATCTACACAGCCAAGAAACATAATTTTACAAACAAATTTGAGAGGCAGTCCAATCAGTCACAATTCAGCATTATGACTTTGTTTCAGAATTGGACTATGCTACCTCCCTCTCGTGCCACCCCACTAGAGCTTGTGGCCAAAATGAAAGAAGCTTCATAAAAAAGAGTAAGACGCTGTTGCCAAGCAGAACATAGTCCATCTGACAAAACTACATAGCGTGATTTGGCACAAAACATGCATCCTCTTAGCCAGATCCCGACCCTGATTAGTCTGACTCAGATCTGGTATAGCTCTCCTCACAACTTGTACAAACACAACTGGTTTCTGGCTCTTTCCCTTGAATGGGTCCTTTGCTCCCTGTTTCCAGAGTATTCCAGAGAACATCCCTCTTTGAAGCCATTAGCTAATGCATCTTGCTTTTCCATAGGATGTCCAGACCCACAACAGATTTTTTAAAAACACCCTGAAGGGGGAGAAATGGAACAAAACCTTCAAGTATCTTCAAGTATTCCCTCAAATATGGTGCCTAAAATATTTTTTCTATCATACAAGATCATACATTTGCCATACTAGAGCACTGGTAAGAAAACAGAACGATAAATGGTCAACCTCCTCATTTTTTGGTGAGATCTGTCTGTTCCTCAAGCTGCTGAGGCCCCTTAAAGAAATGCTGAACCTACTGCCCTGTTTGTGGCAACCAGTATTCTAACAGGTTCATTTCTCCCTTATCCCAATGATAACTGTGGTATCTTAAATACTTGAATAACATGTGTCATTTTGATAGATTCTGCTTGCATCGTTCACTCAAAGGGGTGTCTCCTACTTGCAGTCCAAAATAGTGTAGTCTACTTTACTACCAGGTCTCCTCTGCTGTACCACCGCTTTACCTCGCCCCTGCCTCTTGCATCACGTGGAGACTGGAACCTGGACAGTAAATCTGAGGCTAAGCAGTACACAGAACTAGGAAAGGTTCTTTTAAACTAGCAAGAAAAGGTTCATTAAGCAAGCAAACTGAGGACAATGATCCTGCTCTCACTCTTCTAGAATCTGCTGGGGATGGTGGTGGTGAGGAATGACACGTCAGCAATGAGGAACACAACTGCCCCACTGTGAACTTTGTCCCAAACCAACAATAATTCCCCCTCCCTGCAACCTCAGATTTGACAACAGTGAGATGAACTTCTGCATGGGGTGGATTTACACAGACCTACATTTTAATATTCCCTAGTTAGCATGAAAAACCAGCATGCCAAAGAAAAGAAGAATAAGCTAGAAGCTTTCTCTCTGACTTCTGGTTTTTTATGCATGGGCATCAGGGAGATGGTAGGAAGGGCCATTCAAGCATGTGGGCCTCCTGCTGCAAGATGAAGTGGAAAAGCCCAGGCACAGATCTGCCATCTCAGCTGGAGGCCCCAGGGCTCCTACCAGCTTCTGAATACTCATGCATTTCAAGTAGAGAAGAACTAGCAGGGTCTTTCTGATCTCCTCAGGGAATGGGCAGGACTCAAGGAAGGAAGTTTCTCCTCCTGCACCCACCTGGCAAGTGCTGTCACAGAATCAGACGTGCCACAAGTAGGACTGGCTGGCTACTCTTTACTGGCTGAAAGAGGAAGTGTGGTTGTGTGTGAGGAGGAGGAGGATATGATATTTAAATATTGTGGTTTACACAAGGACTGTGAACCAGCCACTAATGGATGGTTCTATTCATGTCTCCTAAACTGCATCAGGAGGAAAGAAACACATCTGCAGGACAAGAGACAAAAAGAAGCAAAAAGCTGGCCCACAGCAGGTTCATCCCACTTGCTGCTTCCTGGCTGAAAAGTCTTACCTTCGGTTGCATTGTTTTAGGGTCCCGTATAGAATCCCAGTCTTTCCCATCCATGCTGTAGGCCACTTTAAATTTCTTCACAAAAGCACGGGCCTCTGCCACACTGATACTATCACCACCTCGGGCCCCTTGAATGATCACCCCTTTCACATTCTTTGGAGCTCCCAGATCAACCTGCAGCCACTCCTCTCCAGGCTGTGCTTGAGGGATGTGCGGGAACCATCCTGAGCGACTGCTGACCAGGCGTGCTACACTGGGGGCCCAGTGATACTCTCTGGTAGAGGAGGCAGAGATCTGGGAGTCTGGGATCAGTCCAGAAAGCATCCCCAGCATGTTTGAACAGGGTGAATCTGCATGGAAAGGAGCAGGGCGAGAACAAAAATGAGCGCAGCACAAGATCAGGTTTATGAGATAAGCACCAGACCAGCACTGGGGGAGCATGTTCCCACTGCGACTTACTGCCTGGCAATGAAACGTCAAAACACTTGAACCACCTGTGCGTGGGTTTCTGAAAGCCCCTCAATGGACACTCACAACACCCATGCTATTGCAATCTTCATCCAAATTGCTTTCTGCTTACAGCTAACCTGGTCTTCCCCACCCTCAACATCCCAAATCAGTAGGAAAACATCACATCCTGCAACAGCATCCTTGCTGCTGCTGTTCCCATTCTCTGTAAAAATAAATACCAGTTAATTCCGTTCAAATGAAAGAGAAACCACAACTGGAGACCATAACATCAAACCATTCAGATGAAGGCTCGGCTCATTTGGTTTTTTAACATCACAGGGAGATACCTCTAGAACCACAACTTGTGCATGTGCGCATGCGTGTGTGTTAGGGTTAGGAGAGAGAGAAGCAGCAAATACTCCAGAAGTCTAAAATGGAAGTTACAGCTGTACTCCAGGATTTTCTGGAAACTCTTCAAAATGGGGCTGAACAGAGAAGTTATGAGTTCTAATGTCCACAGGCCAGAGTACTCAGGAGTCTCACTGCCATGCCAAAAAAAGAAACTTATAATGGCTTTGTGACATCACCAACCCATACCAAAATGGTGCATGGGGTAAATCAAACAAAAATAATTTGTTTTCCCACTGTTGGATGGCTGCACCATTGTGTGGTGATTTGTATATATGTAAAAACAAAAGTATCTTATTTGTCCCTTTCTGCTCTGCAGAAGCTTTTATCAAAGGCTACACCCTGGTGAGTGAATGGCCAACTGCCTTACACTTTGAGTTGTTCTCCCACCCCCATTGCAAGTTTGTCAACCTCTGAGTTGCTGCAAGTTATTACCCACCCCATGAGGGCATCATCTAGTCCTTTTATATCACCTAATTCGTTTCAATGGACTCTGCTGTTTCCAGGTGTTGGTTCTCCTTGCCCAGAAGTGTGTGCATGGGAGGGAGAGATACCTTGCATATGAGTAGCCCAATGTGCTATGTCAGTTCCCAAGCACCCCGAAAACATCCCAGAAAACCTCTTTTAAAACCTTTTAAGGTGGGTGAGTATTATGATTACAGTGTGCTACATCAGTTTTCATTCTGGGCTGATGGCATAGTCAGGCTTTCCTCCAGGGGAAAAGTCTTGGTGGACTTATTTGGAGGGATAAGTCCCTGAAGTAAATGGATGCCTTCCAAAACTGTAATCCTACAGTGTCATGACATAACAGGCTGAATCAGTCTCAGAACCCTCCAGGTATCTCTGCACAGGAAGCTGCCTCCATGGTGACTATGGCTGCCATTGTGCTAAGTCTCACATTCACGAACAGGGTCCAAGCTTGGCGGGGGCCTCTCTTTCTGGCATATGTGGGAGACTCTTACCCACCACAGAAAGCATGACTGAAAATGCACACCTGTGATCCGACAGCCATAGAGTTCCAGTCGGAGGGCAATTCCACTATGCCAAACCTGAGGGCGGATTCGCACAAACCGAGTTAGCACTGGAGCATGGATCTTGTTCAGAACCACTTCTGAAGCATCTGTGTTAGCCTGGAATACCTGGAGAAAAACAAATGAGAGAGGGGAGGGGTTATATAGTTTTATGCTTTCCTGACCAAAAATCAGAGAAGATGAGAAAGGAGAGAAATGAAAAACACAGGCAACAGTCCAAGTAGCGGAGAAGATAATGGTCTACAATTGCCAACTTTTCTGTTAGCTCCAACTTCTATGCCTTTAACAGCACACTAATCTACACACATTTATAGACTATGATGTTTAAGTCCATGGCCTGAAAAGCTTCACCTGCTGATTTGTTCAGATCAGACTGCTGTCAGTGGCAATGAGTACATGTGGTTTTGCTTTTTCCTGGCCAACTGAAAATACTGTATAGGACAGCAACTTAAATGCAGTCTCAGACAAATCAATTAAATAAAGAACTTCTGTTTTTTGATGGCCAAGCCTGAAGCACCTTGGCATAGTTCCAAAGATTGCAAGATGTTCAAAACACTCCTAAAATCTAGATCTCACTTGCCTGAAATAGAGCATACAAGCAAAATTAGCAATATGAGTTGAACTATTGACTTCATGCATTTGTACTTCGGTTTCAATATTTACAAAGTGGGCGTAGTAATCATTATTCCCTTTGAGAAATGTGTTGATTCGATTCCACATCGGAAAGATTAATGAAGAAATATTGTTATCATTGGAATCCTTTGGTTTCTGCCACATATGAAGCAATGAGAAGTATGGCAGTCATTTCTTTTCCATGCACACTCACAGGCATACACACATGCACACACACAAAACATTTTTGAACAAGACCTTCATTTGGTGCGACGTATGTTGCAGAATTATTCAACTCCTGCCTTACCAGATGGTCATAATCAATAATTACCATATGGACCACTTTTCCCTTCCTTTCCTTCCACTATTTTATTAGCTTGGATTGAAGTCGGCATATTTTGTTTCAGGCTTTGTATTCTATGTGTGGAATGAGAGGAAAGACAAAAAGAAATTCTAGGGTGAAGTCTACCATGACTGTCTTCGGCCACTCAAGTCTTTGCTTTGGGATCTATTCTCTGCATGTCAGTATTGACTTCTTTCATGACTAAACCTTCTCTGTTTTCCAAGCCATATAATTGAGTTTTCTCTTGCACTTGTTTTGGTAGGTGCAGGAATCTCTGCACCAAATTTTGCATGTATCTCTTCAGTACCACTTTAAGTAAAGTGAAATCTAACTAGTGCTGACAATAAAGCAAAAGTTAAATCACTTAATCTTAAGAGCCCTGGGATTCAAGACAAGGCATTGTTTGAAGATCCAACGGCATTTCCCTCATATTCCAGGGGAACCAGCATTAAAGGGAATAATGCAGATGTTTCCTGGTTTTAAAACAATTAACTTCAGTTGAAACTTCAGTCGTCTCAGGGCAGAAATAGTTTGCCAGAGTCTATGTATCACAAGGGCAGCGTCCTCTCTGTGAACTCGCTCTCTGCAAGAACTCATGGGGACAGCCATTCCCTGGCATGAAGCATGGAAAGAGAGGCACAGAGGTACATCATGCACGACCACCGTTTTGTGGGTCTTCAGGGAAAAGGCCATCAGTTTTCCCATGTTACTCCCATGTTGCTCCTGGACATTTACATTTGAAGACAATGCTGTTAGGAATATATTCAGTACTTTCTCTCATCACTGAACACTCACAGCCGGCCTCAATCCAGTATTAAAAGAAAGGGGTTCAAGGGCAATGTTTGTTACTTCTGGGCAGCAGCACCTCTCATTTCACTTTTTAATAAAGGCACACTTGCAGATTACACCAGAAATCCCTGCTGCTAATACAGGTGACAAATCAAAGTGAGGCACACATCCTAGCACAGGGAGTAATGGCAAGGACCAACAGTGGACCCCTGGTGGTGTTGAGGCCCCAGCAAGCGTCTGCTGCTGACCACTGCTGGCACTGGCTAGGTAGTGTCAGATGGAGCAGATCAATCACAGTGGGAGGCACTAAAGAGGTATAATAGAATAGCACTACTGCATGGAAAGGGAAGTACAAAACACCTCCACCCTTTTTACTTGCAGAGCAGAGCTCTTCCTTACAATGTCCTGTTCTTACAGGTTGCAGCGTTGTTGTTTTTGTTATTTTACCACTATTATTGAAACTTAAAAGCCACTGGGGAGAGTTCATCAGTGTCCCTCTCTTGGAGAGGGTATCCACTCACAGTGATTGGGCTAGCAGGGGCAGAAGAACTTGGTATTAAATCCAAGGGTTAACAACAATGCTGCAGCCAGTATGTCTAGCGGTAGGCACTTGCCTCGAGGACAGTGAAGTCAAGTGATGGTGTAGCAAGGAGGGCTTTGTCTGAAAATCTGTTTTCATAATTGAGATTTGCAATAGATTTAAGAGGGGAACAGAAATGCTAATCCAGAGAATATATATCATGCTGGTACCGTTTAGAAACACAGCATGGTTGATGTGTTTTTAATATCCTACTTTATCCCAGCAGACCCCCCACCCTTCTGCTATCCTTTTCTTTGCTCAGCAGTCACCAAATACCCTTCTTCCAGCAGGAGGTCTGGAAGCATCAGTATCTGCTGTTAGTGGTCTTCCTGTGTGCCAATCTCCAAGAGTGTATGTGCCTGTGCAAGGATATATTTTCACACCATAGAAGAGCCTGCAGCTTTGTGTCAACCCACAAAGCTGATCTGCAGCATATCATCTAAGAACCTAAGACACTTTTGTACTTGCCCTTCTTCCAATTCCTCCTCTAATCCTACTGTGCTGCTTTCTCAGCTTCTGACCCTCCCTCTTCCTCCAAACACATATCTAGGTGTCTCTGAAATATATCTATCTCTTCCCCTTTTTAGTCACTTTTGATTTATTCCATATGGTGATTGTGCCATATTTAACATATTCCCTTAGTCTTCACAGTAAATTTTAATCCTCCTTTGTTGAGGGAAAGTTATATGGGAACATTTTGTGTTTGAAGCAGTGCAGCATGCCAATAATTTTAACAACTCTCACGTTCTCATTTACATCCCTAAAATAGTTGGGGGAGAAGGTTTTATGGGTGTATCATTTTTATCAATCCTTTCTACAAGACTGATCAACAGCCCACCCTAGGAGTTCAATTTCAAAGCAGAAAAAAGAGTTAACAACTTTACTGCTGCATCACAACTGCATTAGATACAGCATGACTCAGCCAGGTGCCTAATTCCAAACAGATGAGCAAAGTCTAACAGTTTCTGAATTCTTCTTAACCTGGTCTTACCTCCAGAAATGCAGAATTTAGATATGCATAACATGCAATAAAAATCAAACAGAGCACTTCTAGGCCAAGGGGCAAGCTTGCAATGTCCTTCTTGCTCCTCTTAAGAGTGCCTTTGCTACACACTGTTCTACTAGGAGCATTCCCAACATTATCTCGATCATACTCCCTAGTTTTACTTCATAAGTTCAAGACTGCTTCACATACCACTTTTCCTGTTCTTTAACTTGTGCAACTCAAGACACACCCAGAAGGGGGACTTTCTTCATGTGTTGGGCGCTGTGGATTCAGAACTTCTAATGCCTTCCTAGTGTGGGCAACTGCTAGTTCAACTGGCCCCTTAACTGACCTCCACAGGTTAAGTCCTATCTTCCAAAATTTCCTCTTGTGCTAGCAATGTCCTTCTCTTCCTGAACTGTACGCCTTACTTGTTGGTAGTGTCCTCCCTTCTCTTCATTGTGTCTCCAATTTGCTACTTCAGTGCAAGCCTGTCCGCCAACTGAATGCAGGGATGCCAGAGGAATTCAATCTGTACATATTCCAAAGCACACTGTCATGATTTGGAGCATGATTAGTGTACCTCCTACACTAATGTGTGGATTGAAATGTTCTTATCTATTGAATTTTGCAATGCAGTTCTTCACCAGCTGGCTTAGAACATCAACAATACAATGCTTAATTTATTATGTTCTATTGTATTTCAATGTATTTTATTGTGTTGTAAGCCGCCCCAAGGCTTCGGCAAGGGGCGGCATAGAAATGTAATAATAATAATAATAATAATAATAATAATAATAATAATAATAATAATGCCACCTCTGCTTTTATTTCTTTCCCTTTGCACATCTTGGCTGCAGCCATGACCTCCTTCAAAAGAGGACTACAAATACTTCCAGGAGTCACATGATACGGCAACATGCTGTCCCTGTCCCGGCAGCCACACTTTTTCCATATAATGGCCCCAAGCAATATGGCCTATTATCAAGGCATGGCACTCCCACAGGGATATGTAGCCCCATTAAAAAAGAAAGAGCTATTACCTGAAAATAATCAGGAGGACTTTTCTAAGGCCACCCTCAGTCTACCTCATAACACTGTTTTCATTTTGGCTTTGTGTTTAACTACAGATTGAGGAAACAGGATGGCACAGTTTTAGAAATAAATACATGCAAAGGTGGCTCAGACTAGAAATAACGGGATCTGTTTCTACTTACCCGCATCCCTACCTGCATGCAACTTAAAGCAGGAGATAGATTAGAGTTTTTTCAGAAACCTGAAGAAGGTATATAACAATGCTTGAGGTGCTTTTATTCAGCTCCATCCCACCTCACCATCAGCCAAATCTGCTTCTTTAAAAGCCATGGTGGGACAAGAGAAGTTAAGACGCTGAACATGGTGTGCCATGCAAGTCCTACCATACCACTTTCAACTCCCTTAAAAACTACTGTATTGTCAGTGACTTACAGTTAACAAAATCCCTCCACATTCAGTCATTTCTCTAAACGTGCGACATAACAAGCAGGAGAGGGGATCAGCCACAGGAGAATGGAAGAAACCACCTTGATCTCATGACTCATTGCACTGGATAATTTAAAAGGCAAGGTATGCTACCTTCAGTGTTCAGCCTAACTCGTTTTTAGACTGGTATCATCTGTCTCTGCCTGGCTGGAGTCAGCCTTCCTGAAGGGGAAAAATAAACAAACAACAACAAAGCAACTGGCTCCTAATCTGGTGTGTTTGGCACCTAAACTTGAGAATCCATAGAGAATCTGATCTTCACAGGCTTAGTGCTCAAA